CTTTTCTGTTTATGTATCTGCTGCAGAATGTGCGATTGATGTTTTAAACTCAGGCGAATAAAATCTTGCCTTCCCCTTATCAATTAGCCTTTAGTTTTAGGTTTTACCCGGAAGCAGTTTTTAAACTAATAGTGAGGCTTCGGACAACCCATTTCTAAAACACAAGCGATACACATTTTCCTTTGATCCGAGTTGTGGACGCGTGCACTCACCTTTCATTTGTAGTAAGATACTATCGCTTGCATGCTGACAGACTGTAAATGTCACCTTTTTAGTCCACAAGATGTCCTCATCAACTTATGCGTACATTAGGAAGACTGCTACAAATATGTTGAGCACTTTAAGCCTAGAAAAGCACGCATTGGGTCCACTGATGAGATTTTGTTCCTGGCAGGTGGTTCGTGCCGTGTCAAGCAAGTCGCGAAGTACGTGTCTGTCTAAACAGTCAGTAACTAGGCTAGGCATATAACATGTCATCCTCCAGATAATGAACTTTCCTCACGGTCTGTCCTTTTGAATTATCTTGAGACCCTTATGAAATAGTATTTTTTTGGAGGACGTTATCAGACTATTTGGAATAACAAACTCGTTAATTCCGGTCAGTAGGAAATGACGAATTTAAAGGCCCTCATATAGATTCAGTAAATTCCTTTTATTTGTAAAGCCTAAGGTAAACGTGACAGAAATTTCTCCGCGTAAAGCATTTAGGTTATGAACATCATATTACATGTTGACTAAATATCACTTTATAAGGCTAAGTTTCCCAAATCTTGAAGAAATATTATATTTCCGACTTAATGGTGAATGGATATGTGAAAAATGTTCGCAAGCGAACAACTTACATAAGAAACAATGAGGTTTTTGTATGTTAAATGCTGGCTCAGGTTGCCACGTGTGATTCAACGCCGAACCCTATGAAGTTTGGCAAACTACTAATGATACGAAAGCATATAAATTAGATTGCTTAAATCCAGAAATGTCAAAATCAGCATTTTAGTTGGCGTATGGTACATATTTTAGGACGCAAAAGGCTGAATTTAGCATAGATCATTTCATTAAAAAAAAAGGTCAGAAATTGACAAAATCTTAAAGCTACGTGTCAAAACCGCGAACTTCTGATTTTTAAAGTATAACAGTAACATTACATAAGCAGGATGATTTTAAAATATATCCCCCTACTGAATGGAAAATCGGGAAAATTTGGCTATGAGAATCCACAATATTGACGTTAAACTAAGGGCGAATTTAGTTTAAAAAAGTATGTCATAAATATCAGTAACAAACGCGTGAGAATGAATTTCTTTTTAACATACCGACAACTAGGAAATAACTATATGCGAAGCTGAGAAATGCTGTTGCTTTCCTCTTTCACGCCCTGTGCGAAATATGTCCAGAAAGCTTCCGTCTGCAGCTGTATATGAACGAATACGACAGTTTTAAATGGAGTGGACAAATACTTAGCAATTATCAAAACATTAGGTATATGTTCGGCTACTGTTTTAGCTAATTGCAGTGTCCTAGCGGACTCTTTAAGCAAACAACATGCAGCGAAATTCACTCCAGTTTAAACGTGATTTTGAATTCCCTTATTTCCAGCAGACAGTTTGTGCTTGATTTTCAAGGATGTCAAAAACCAGTCACACGTCCATATATTTTAACTTAACCTTGAAAAAGGTAAAAAGTGCAGAAATTCGAAATAGGATTATTTAATAAAGGTGTGACTTTATAAATGTTCATAATATAGAACGTTTTCTAATTTATCCTAGTAGTATGTGTTTGGCTCCTTTTATTATTTGTGTTCATTGTCATCGGCAACGCGTTTTCATGTTTCGATAAGTCTATTAATATGACATATACGATTATTTGTATTAAAAAGAATGCCCAAAAAACTCACGAGGTCAATAAATTCTTTTCAAAATTATATCTTATCTTATGTTGGTCGCACGAGACGGCGCATATCCAAAAGAATAAAGGAAAGCACCTCCCGGCATGACTGAAAATGGTGAAGTCAGGAGCATAAACAGCTCTATTCTGGCGCACGTGCTCGATTCCGGCCATCGGGTGGACAGCAACGAAGCTTTCCGAGTGATCTACAGGGTCCCCACTAAAGTCTCTGGGTTAGCGCCTGCTAACAACAGCGGAAGCGACCGCTATCAGGCTGATGAAGCCCGCGCTATGTGCACAAAAGCACTTCCTAAAAGCCCTATAGTTGTCGTGGCCCACAGTCACTTAGCGGCATGCAATCATCCATGCTTTGTTTGTAACCCTCCCCGTCCCCCCGCCACCCCTAGACTGCTACATCAAACCCTAACCTTACAATCCGCCTTCGCTTATCAACCCCCATTCCCACGACTCACTTGTCCGAAAAGAGGAACACGTTTGAAATCGCACCCACTTTCCATATAAATGTAAGGCCTGACGAGAATTTGTCGGAAGTACGCGTATACTTGCCAAACTGGACTGAAGGGAATGAATGAAACCGTTTGCGTCGCATGCATTTGCATGGATAAGAAAGAGGAATTGTAGAGCACCGGGCCAATATTTTAATTAACCTGAGCTTTCTAGCTCTTGCAGGAATCCACCTTCCTGTAAGAGTTCCAAAGCTCAGGACAATTAACCCATTTGTCCGCTGCTTGACAAGTTTTGTCCGTTATCTATAAAATCATGTTTATGGGCAAGTGAAAGTAAACAATTAAAATATCAAACAGTTTACCACTCTTTCAATCACGAGCTAAATGTTGTTGTATTTGAAAGCCCCAAACAATTTGACAGACATTTAGTGGAACAGAATTTATCTCAAGATTTACATATTGGTGCGTTGACTATTGCACCTAAAATGTTTAGTTCAATGTATTAGGCGCTAACCGGCCTGTGCAGCTGTGAACGTTTGAAATATCTTATTCCTTTGTCGTCTCTATAGGCAAAGTCTAGTGAACATATATAAATCTTTATCCTACTCAAAAAATAATATATAAACGAAAGATAAAACTGCCAGCGTTCATAAAACGAAGTTTAAAATTATATGCATACTTAAGGCTTTTTGTCATAGGAGTATTCCGGCTCAGACAAGGCACCGTGATATAGCTATTGATTTTGTCATAGGAGTATTCCGGCTCAGACAAGGCACCGTGATATAGCTATTAGCTATTGGCCCTCATCAGCCACGGTAGCCAACTCTTGTGTAGCAGCTGAAATATATTGGCCCTCATCAGCCACGGGTAGCCAACTCTAGTGTAGCAGCTGAAATCCACCGCGCCCGAGTTTCGAACTCGTGCCTCGCCGGTCATGGGCAGACGTCCTAACCATTGAGCCACCGAGGTCGATATCTGGCCGGTTCTGGATCGGGAGTATATACTATTTGTTTGTACACCGATCTATTCCCCAGGATGGGCGCATCCTGAGGAATAGATCGGTGCACAAACAAATAATATACTTTGGGCTATTTGGTAGCTAAACATTGTGCATATTATGAAAGAGAACCTCTTCGAGAAATTCCTTAAAGCTGTGTGTAAACACCATTTCACTTGTGCTACTTTTTTACTTGATAATTTTTATGATCAGGCTTTTAAAATTAACATCACTTGGCAAAACTTAACTTTCAAATTTTCGAAATATTCTGTTTTTTTAAGAATCAAGTGCTTCTAAACAACGTTATGTCATTCTATAAGCCACAATTTACCTTCTTTAAATTGGTCGTTTCTATATTTCTATAGGTATTTGAGGGAACACAACGTATTTTGCTTTTGCATTACGTGGATCTTTCAATGAAATCTATGATATTTTGTGATTAAGGCCAACTGATGTATTTCCTACGCTCTTCTACATAGAGAATGACAAGCAAATCGAAAACTTTATTTATTTAGCAAGGCTAACGCTAGATTTTAAAACACTCGACTGTTTGGTCATATTTTGCAGTTTACGGCCTTTTTTGCAGTATGGCCCAGTTTTCACAAGGGTAAGTACTTTTGTCTTTTTGAGCCCACTTTTCAATATCAGCTTAGCTGCTTCATATTTCGCATCAGCGCACGTCACATTTCCTGCAGTGTACCACTTCAATGTAGCATTTTAATGACACACTTATCTTTATCAAGTTTACCTTCGAGTATGCCAACTTTTATTTAAATGAAGCACATTAATGGTATTATATTTCAAAATAACCTTTGTTGGTGCACATTTTGCCTTTGCGTACAGCAGAAAGCTTAATGTAGCACTAAAATAGTGCATTTTAATGGAGCGTTAACTCCTTCCCCCAATGCTATGGAGCATGCAATCTTAGCAATCAGGAATCCACTAAATAATTTGAAATCAGAAGCTTATAATTGCTCGCGTCGAATATGACCTTAATTCCTAAGACACGACCTGCCCGCTTATTTTTTTACCAGCTTGCTTTTAGCTGACTCAATCCCTCCGCCTACTGGTGGGCGAATGCTATTGGTCAGGCAGCCCGCAGTTTGCCAGATAAATGCGCAAGAAATTTCCTACAGCACGAAAACACATCGCACGTCCTCCTTCAGAACATGGTCAGCCAGCATGAGCTTGGGTAACCCGTAGCCAAATAAACATGTATCCCACAACAAGGCACTACTCAAACAAGTTGGACTATATCAGTAATGAACGAAGACAATCCGTCATTCCGACAGGCAAAACTATCCGCCGGCACACGTTTGAGGCGGAAACAGGAAGGCGAGCCTCTAGACAACTGTTTGCCCTGCCAGGTTTGCTGTCTGAAAAGCCGGATTTGCTGTCATCAGTGCTGTGCGGGCTCAAGAAGGGTGCTTTGAAGTCAAGCTTCCTGCTGTCCATGGAAAAGAACTGGACCCTGCACGGCGAGCTACGGAAAA